TCATACAGAGTTTTTGGTACCATCTTGTTTTCAATTAAAGAAATACCCATTTATCTTCAATACTTCACTTTACTTTTCTGATCCAGCGGCCATTTGGGTTTTAGCCCTTCGGCCTGTCGATATGACAAAGAATTTACAGGTTTATCTTAAATAAAAGTCGAGATATTTGGAATTGAAGGAGGTGAAGGTCACCTGGTTTCAGAGGCAAAAATAGCAAGAAAATGGCCGTCAAAGTTTGGTGGCTTCCACAAGTATGAGAGTCCTTGGCAACTGAAATTTTACACTTTGCGTGCCTTTAATCAACGATTTTTTAGTAAAATCCACACAGCAATGTCTTTTTAAATGGACATAACAGGTGCTGAGCCCAAAAAAAAAAAGTGATAAAAATTACCAAATGGGAATAAAAATGCCATTTTCTTCGATTTCACTACATTACATTGACGAGCACCTGATTTCACCACAATGCCTCACAATTTTGTAGAAACATAAGAATAAAAGGATATTCATCAATCACACATTCAATGTTTACTGTCACATTTTTCTTTTCATCAAGTCACTTACGAGAATCATTTCCGTGGGAGGATTTTATGGTCATATTAGTCATAAAAAGTTTTTAGATATATATGTATATTATATATCTATCTATCTTTATATGTACAGTACATACACACATAACTTTAAAGGTAAAGCTCTAAAGTTTGCGGAATGAAATCCATGTAAATGCAGCTGACATCTAATGATGGAAGCACATAACTTGACTGCAAATGACTGGGTGCAAAAAAGTTTTTTTGTGCTTAAAATCTGAATCGAACCCTACAGAAAAGTTAACACTACGTATGATGACTACTTAGAGCTACTTCAAACTACACTTTTAATTTTAAAGTTTTTTCAAATCAAAATAAAACTTCATCTTCCTCTTTCAATCATCTATAACTGCCTTTGTTCTTCCCAAGGGTCAAGTGGATGAATTAAAAGAAAAAAAAACCCACGTCAAAACCTGGATCTCTATGCATTCCTCTCACACTCACACTGTTTTTGAAGTAGTTTCACACTTTACATTTTTATATATAATGTTTATAATAATCTATACAGAATTAATTTACAGACAGTTGTAATGCTGAAAATTACAAGCCTTGGGAAAGTAGCCAAATCGCTTCCTCAGAATCACAAAATTCTACCTGACTTTTTTGGCTGTCTTGAGTTATTACGACCATGAGGACTGACACTAAAAATTCTATCTACTCTATCAAAACCTTAAGATTATTCCGAGTCATTATCAAGATATTCAAAGCAGTGCATTCGAAAAAGCTTGACAAGATGTGAAACTTAAAATCTTTGACGTCAAATTTCTCAAATCTAGGTGCTGAGCAGATAGAACTTTGTGATTCTGAGGTAGCCTAAAGGCATTGAGATGGAACTGATGACAGACAATCAAGTGGGGATATAGAGATGGATGACTCACTCTTTAGTTCCCGAGTGTTGATGAGTAGTGACTTCACAGTAAATCAGAAACTGTGATTAAGTGTACATGATATAGTTACTCATTTTCTTCCGACAGCAACACTTTATTGTACATGATGAAAAATAAATGCACTCATGGAAATCCCTTTTTCTTTTCCCTCTGCAATTTAAGAAAGTGAGAAAAATTTGTTCTTTGTTATGCAAGGTAGTATGAAGATCCCTGTCAGAAAACTCAGGGAGACACAAGATGCATTTGACTTTCACACATTATTAGGCCTATCCACGTTCTATAATATATTAAAATCGATATAGATATATATATTAATTTGTAAAACAGTGAAGACCGACCTCCATAAATCAAAGTTCTATATTTTCAAGGAATTTCAGGAACACGACATTTGGAACAGGTAAAAATCAGTACCATTTGCTTAACAAATAAGCAGAATTCATATATTACCAAAACTATCAAACAACAAAAGCAACTCTAAATAAACAGAGAAATCCTACTGAGCACAACTGACAAGTGTTTACATAAACAGGAATAACAGAAAGATAACAATAAATCAGCAATTTTACTAACAAGACAAAAAATCCCAATAACAATGATTGCAGTCAAATTCAGCATCTTCAACTTTGTGTTCATTGACTTCTACATTATATGGGTTGGCACTTTCTGACTGATACACCAAGAAAGGTGCATGGGTGGTGTCAAAATGGTATAAATGGTGAAATGGTATAGGTTTTAATGCCCCTATCAACACTGGTAGGTTATTTAAGAGGCAGGACCGCCCAGCTTAACGTCCCTCTCCGAAAGGACCGAGGCAAACAGGAATTTCGAGTAAAGTGCCTTTCCCAAGGACACAACGTCAGGCCGAGCTGAGGCTCGAACCCCCAAACCCCCAATCACCTGATTACGGGTCTGGCAGCCTAACCACCAGGCCACCGACGCCACCTGGATTGTATCAGAGGACACGTAAAGTGCATATATATATATATTATTACTTGATATGTACAAATACAATAAGAGGAATAAGAAAAAATCAAAAGAGTATAGTAACAGTAATCACTAAATTATGATTAATATCAAGAATTAATATAAATAAAAACACAGAAATAATTAAAACTGAATTTGGGTGAGCATAAATTGATTTTGTAAATCATATAGAAATTGTTCATGTATTGAATATACTCACGAAAGAATTGTCTCACCAGAGAGAGAGGTAAAAATTACTTTTTCTAAAACTATAGATAAACACGAGTCAAATTTAAATTAGCAAGAACTCATTCGAGGCTTCTGCTACACACGAGTATAATAATACACACGGCACACCAGCAAAAGACTGAGTATCAGTTGTCCAAACAAAATGAACACCCAAAAAAAAAAAAAAGTTGTAGCAGTCTGGGAAAAGTTACAACATCATCAGCATGCTTGACCAAGACTCTCTTCATGTGAGAACCTTCTGTATCTGGGGGCTGGTCCCAGGGAAGGGTTACGTGGACAGTCAGTCAGTTCAAGCACAGCTTTGAAATGGGTGGTCACTAGGGTGTTTCCTTGAGCAAAACGTGACACCCAAGACCCCCCCAAAAAAAACAAGACAATGCACTGAGGCGCACAGCAATAGTGAGTTTGTAAAATGGTCAGTATTTGCAGTTACTTTGTATTCTCACTATGTGACACTGACATAGCCTGCCAATTGTTTTATGCATGCCATTGTCACACACATTTTTCCACAAAGCTAAATGAAAGCAATAGCCTTCTTTTCGGAAAGAAATCATTTCATTATGCCAGCAGAGACGCTATATGGGCCGACAGATGAACTGAGCAGGACGGTCCAATATATGAATGATACCGGACTTCAATCAAGTGTGATGCGATCGAGAAGAAGAAGAAGATTATCCCAGAAAAGTGAAAGATAATCCCGGTACTTGCAAACTTTTATAAATAAGAGCAAAAACAGAGTTAGAACATTTTTTAAAGCTTATGATAATGCACCTGAAGACTCATCAGTCAGACTCAAAGTCACAGAAATGCTTAACGTTTGAACTGGAAGGCAACCAAGTAGTAAGTAGCAAGAACTCACCTACCACCCCTCCCAACTCCCCTCAAAGTCTCACCCATGAATCAATTGCATCGATAAGCATGCAGTCACAATAGAAAGCCATGGCTAGATTGGACATATTAAAATTTCACAAGAGAATTTCATACGGTATTAGGCTTCATTTTTTAATGTAATCATGCATTCCGACCAAATGAGCTAATCATACCTCCACACTGACACTACAATTAGGATTGTTTAGCTGGTGAGGAGCTTTGAAGCTGTAAGTCAGGACCAGCATGGACTGAGTGGGGAAACAGCTTTTGTATTGGTAAAAATTTTGCGGTCCTTTAAACACAATAAGGTTGTATAAGTGTTGAAGATTAGAGATGTTACATGATAGTAACAAACACACAAAAGAAAGGGGGCGGATAAAGATGATAGATGTTTAACTGGAAAGAAGGTGCAAGCCACACCAGAGCACCCGCCAACCATCCACTGGGGAAACAGCATCCCAACATAAAGACACAGATACTCAATCATACAAAAATTTCTCTCACAGGAATCGAACTCACATCTCACGCATCTAAGGCCATGAGCCTCACCACTTCCCCGCAGACATCAGGAAATGTGTCGCAACGACTTTTGTTCATCTTTCACAAAAGTTATTTGTGTAAGAAAAAAAGTGTCAACAGCAATTTGCGGATGTGAGTGAGTAAATCTGTTGTATATATTGCAAGAGCTCTAATTCACAGTAGAACTGGTGAGGTAACTGAAATTTCAGCATAAAGAAAACAAGAAGTTACAGTATAGCCACTGACTGACAGCGGCCGTATGCAGCAGCAATGCTCACAGAGCTGTTCATGACATCAGCAGGCAAATTCTAACTAACCTGGCATTCACACTAATAAATAGCACACACATGCACTTTTCACTGACACACTCCGACGCTTGCTCTGATCAGGTCAGGATGAAATGAATTAAAACACTACCATTAAAAAAATGCGCAATTTGACATTCTGTTAGTGAAAACGTGGTGTCAAAGTTCATGTTCACATAGAGGTACTGAAAGTTTCTTAGGGGTTAAAAAACATGTAATGAATTTATTGTGTTTAAACATATATATTTCAAACACTCATTGTAATATTCAGAATGACTCATGGCACTAGTGAAGTCATCTTTTCCAGATGAGTCAGACATTTTTTCTTCCACAAGACAGATGGCACTTAATACCCACTTAATTCAACATAAATACCAAACTTTGACAAGAAAAATTGGTAAGCTCAATGATTGCTGCCACAAAAATACACTTTAGCCAACTGAAAAGGCCCTTTCCTTCAGGTGCATCGTAAATTGAACCGACGATTCATTAAAAAGAATATTGCTAAATACCTCACTTCATCTGGTTGCACTTTATAGGCCTACAAGATAAAAAGCATCAATTTAAAATAAAATGAAACATCAATAAGGACAGGCAAAAAGGAATTAAAAACAAAAAACAACAAAAAACATTATTAATAGGAAAGATGGAAGGAAAAAGACAAAAAAAATGTTTCCTTCAAGCAAAACATTTTCATTGATCATCTATTCATTGCAGTTCTAACTCTAACTACCACCACTGAGTAATTAATTTAGCAAACAACACTTAGTATTTCAATATCAATATCCTGAAAAAATTCCACCCCCACCCACAAACACAAGCACGATAATAATTCCGGTTTGCAGTCTTCGACATGTCGCATTCGACCGTCTTATATTAATGAAATTAAGGATAAATAACTATCATGCTGCATTTTTATCCACCAAAACTACTTACTTATATAAAATTATTCCTCCATTTCTCACCAAGTGACCTTCTAAATGTACTTTGAGCTTCTACGTCTAGTAAATTCCAGTATGTTTGATAAAGAGAACTTCTAACACAGCAGTTCCTGGATTCATTATCAATTTGATCTTCTCGATTCACCACTTCCAAGTTCCCTATCAACTGACATGACCGGCGTAATAGTTCTCATAAATCCCCCAAATCATAATACGTTTTGCTAAACAAAATAAAACAAAACAAAATGTTACATCACATAACTGTGTCGAGTACAAATGATTATCAAATGCAAATAAACAAAAAAAACAAAAAAAAAAAAAACAAAACAAAAAGAAAAAAAAGGAGCATGCAACATATTCATTTCTATATTATATAAACGTGGGTTTCATAACATCTAAGAGAGGTAGTTGAATGTCAGCTCAAGTATACCGTTAGTCAGATCACATGAACAGACAAGAAACATATGAATATCTGCATATGTACCAACTTCCACATAAGTGTTGATAGGACAGTCACTTTACAGTGGTGCGGCATGCAAGCAATTTGACTAGTTTCACACCTTCGCACAAGAATTTGTGGTTGCGATCGCTCTCATATTAGTAACTTCTCGGATCAAAGTTAGTCATTATATAAGTTATCTTGATAGTCATTTTATAAGTTATCTTAATATAACTCTTACAACACATCATTCACACATAAATTTACAAATTTTGGTATATTTTAAAACAAATATACATTATTATAAGTTATTCGACTTTCACATTGACACTAAAGGCTTGGGCTGTCCTTGACATCTAAAAATCTCTATCTGTGGGCAGCTACGGTTGTCCCAACTTGGGAATTTGGTCTGAAAGTAAAAAGTATAATAGAAGTAATGAATAGTGTGTGTGTGTGTGTGTGTGTGTGTGTGTGTGTGTGTGTGTGTGTTTATATATTGGGAATTCTCCTGAAAACTTGAACTTGCGCATACCCCTTACTGCAAACGCCATAAATATCTTTCTTTATTTCAAATTATTGTTAAGATGAGCTAAGCCGGTGGGGAAAAGGTTGCCGAACCTGGACTAGGTAGAAAATATCCAATGAAATGATATGCTGAAACAGTGTGGGTTTTTTTTGTTGAAAAATCAGCATTTTTTAGGTATGAAAACATAACATTCACCAGAGACAGTTTTCATCCGAAGATTTCTCTAAGAACTGCCTGCTTATCATTTTCGTAATTATGTGTAAATACTGATCTTAAGTAGAACTTTCAGGGTAACAGACAAATATATGCTTAATACGGCCCATTTGTTCACACAAAAGACATAAAATTAGGTCTTAAACGCTATTCGTCTCGTCCGAAAAATGATAAAAAATAGTAACCCTATCTTGAGTTCAATCGATCGTTTAAAAAGTGTAATTGTTTATTGTAGAACTAGAAATGCGATCACTTTCGTCATTTCATCAACCAAGAACAAAATTACTACACCGATTACGAAATTTTGGCGGTAACTAGTAGCGTCTTTGAATTTTTGTCACGTTTTAACGATTAAGATCTGCATGTTTACTTCTGCCGGAAGTAGCTCGAAATTTTAGTGCGGTGTTTTTATGTCAAGTGCACTGGTTTCCAATCAACTAGGCTTTCATCTATTCCCCGGCAAGACAACGGTGTCTATAGAAAGTGAATATGAATGACTTCGTCACGCAATTTTTAGCGGTCAACGATTAAGACGTAAGTAATGATGAAGACTTGAATTGCTTTAAAATTTGCTTTCTTTTTTATACGACTGCAAAATGTGTGATTCATTGATGAAATCTTAAAGCCCCTTAAGGAGTTTGGATCCTGCCAAAACAAGGATTGTTGGTTTTCATAGTGTTTGTTGTATCGAAATGGAAATTGGACAAAGAGCTTGATTTTTTCATTTTAACGATTTAGCCTTGGTCTTTGTGTTATAATCTTTGTAAAATGAGAAGCTTCTTTAAGAATTTCATTTCAAGGATTTCATGCGTTGATGCCACATATTTCTAGCTTTGGGGATGACAGTTGGGGCAATTAAAGGTGACAACTTGTTATCGTTGTCTGAAACATTGCAAATACAAGGATAAGGCTGCATGGCTTGGTGTTTCAAATATTTAATATAGAACATCAGTAATTTATCTTTGTAGACAGACTCCGTCAATGGAATGCAAAGTATATTGATATGTCCTATTCTGGGTAATGTCACACTGTAGGCTTGGTGGTGACGAGGCGTAAACACAGTGAACAAGGCGAAGAGGGAGACGCAAGTGATGTAACGTTGTGTGGGATTTTCTATGTCAATTTTAGTTTCAGTTGAAAATGAACTGAAAAATATTGGCGCCGTTTCTCCTGATCGACGTGGTAACTCTAAAGAGAAAAGAAAGAAATAAGTAGGCGAACCCGATTACTTAAATGCGTCATAAGTTTTGGTGAATTTCACCTCTTGAAGAGAAATTTGCCAGACGACCAAAGCAGATGTGCAGATTCAGTTTGAATGAGTCGTGATTCCTTTTTCTATCTGCATGAAATGTTAATGGTTAAACTTACCTAACAGACTACTAACTTAAGACATCCCATCTCGACGATTGAGAAAGAAAGAATGAGAGACAAATGGAAAGAGTGTTAAGTACTTAAGAAGGGAATGTTATGGAGAACTGATGGATAGGTAGATCTTGGTCTACAAATTAATTGAAAAGAGGTCAATTCTATAATGTCTTGCTTTGAATAAAAGTAAATACATTGTGTGTTTTGCTTTTATTTTTCATTTTTGTTTTTACAAACCGTTTTCACAAGCTCTCCTCGTTTTCCTTCTTGTTATAATCACTGAAATTTTGTAGATCTACTAGTGTCAAGCAAGCTGTCAATAATATCCTCGTGTGCACGCATGTACATTTCAAGCGATAAAAGCGATTATACATTGGCCGGAATTTCTCCTGGCATCTCCTTGCTTCGGGCCGTTCTTGGTACGGCTGGTAACGTCCGTCTTTCCCTTTGGTTTTATTTTGATTGCCCCGGCCGTGCTGCTTCGCTTTGTCCACGGTGTAGCTTTACCCTTAGTTTTCACCAGAAATTAATATTGGTTTCAACAAGAGGAAAATAT